GCCCGCCTCTGCTCACTCTAACCCTCCGGCCGTTCCTCACGCTAGCCCCCGGCCTCTGCTCACTGTAGGCCGCCGTGTGTGACGCTGTTTCATTGTGAAAGCGAAACTACTTCGACGCGTTTCAGAAAGGCGGGGCATAGAGGAGAAACAATAATGTACAGTATGTGGAAAATAATGTGTTTTTTGAACCTTAAACCGCATAAACACATTTCATTACACCAAATACACCAAATACTGTTCTTTTTAGCAGCATCATATGACCCCTTTAATGCATCCTTGTTGAATAAAAGTACTGAATGGTAGTATAACTAGTTTCCCTGTACATTTAAAAAGACTGCCCTGTTATGGCAAATTGCTTGTGATGTTCCTCATTTCTAAGTCACTTTGGATAAAAGCGAGTGCTAGATGAATAAATGTCAAATCTAAATAAAATAAATAAAGTTTGACTGCAGTACATTAAACGAGAGATATCAATACCATGCTCGCCCTGCAAGCACAAATCCAGTTGAAGACATAGTATCCTGTGAAAGTAGTAATGCCCGCTGAATGTTTTGTCCTTTCAGTGACATAGCACCAAGGAGGAAAGTCAATCTTTACACCCTCCTTCGAAAAGTGACAGCCAACAAAATAATTAACTCCCCTGTTGTGATCCATCATGCCACCCATATCAGTCAATTACTTGTGAGCACATCTGTTTTCCCCCACTGCTTAAAAGAACATCTTGATTCATTGGGACATAACACCTTTGTGGTCTGATTTAGGGCCAGGATTAAATTCATTTGCCACGTTGGCTACTACTAAAACACTTCATTATACAGTTTATGCCTATGAATTAGTGTTGTCTTTCACTATGGTCGTCATTCACTCACCCAGTTTTAAGGTTGTCGATGGCCTCTTCCACGCCTCTCTGATTGTTCCGCACCATGTACTGATGCATGTTGGGGTAATTGCTCCGTATATTCTCCTCTGTACTCCCATTTGGGACAGTGCCGAAGCGTAAGGGAGGATACTGCTCTGTGGGATGCTGAAACTGAACACAACATTAGGAGATCCTTCATCAACTGCTCCACACAAACAAATGTCTGTTTCAAATGCAAATGAGACCTATTTAAAAAAATATGTATAGTGTGTATCCATATCACTGCAGTGTCAGTTATTGTTGCACAACCACAATTTCAGCCTATACAAAATTTCGCTACAGCTCAGTTTAGTTCACATCATGTCTAGTAAATAGGGATACACTGACTTTAAAATTGTGACCGATACCAATAAGCCAATATTTATTTTCATTTTACTTCTGATAACCATGTTACTGTTAACTAAAACTGCCAAAAAATTTCATCAGTAATTGAAATAAAGCTGAAATAAAATGCAAGATGACAACATAAACTTAAACAAAAATAAGAAATGTTGCCTGTTAGCTAAACTAAACTATAGTATAAAGTATACAAGTATAAAAGAATACTAAAATCTGTTCTTAATGTGCAAAATGAATAATGAATAAATGCATAAACATTTTTCTTCAGTTCTTGCTACAAGAAAAATAGCTCTGAAAGGGTCCTGTTTTACTATAATCTATGAATATCCCTTTAAGTTAGTGATAAATGGTCACCCAAGCCATAAAATAGACAGAAACAATTCAATATACAATAGTGGTTGATAATTATACATGATAAATAATTATACAGTTATAAATTACAACAAAAATGCCTTAATATAACAATTATTTTATTTGCAAATAAAGATCACGCAAATATAAAACAATCATATTTATTACATAATGTTTCCACGCAAGTACGACCTCCATAAACTCAGCTCAATGTAATAGCTAAAAAAAAAGGGAAATTTGTTACAAAATAAAATCACTTTTATCATTGTCTACCTTCTTATCACTGAGGCCAGACACAGTGTCGATGTACTCTTCTTGGATCATGAAAGCAGCCAGGTTTGCAGTGTAGCTGGCCAGGAAGATGACAGCAAAGAAAGCCCAGACCAGCACCATTATCTTACTGGTGGTGCCTCTTGGGTTTTCCACCGGAACAGAGTTATTAAACACCAGAGCCCACAGCAGCCAAATAGACTTCCCTATGGTGAACTTTGAACCTCCTGTCTCTGAGGGAAGAATAACACAGGAAGGCCAAGTGAGACATGTCTAATTATGACATAGACGATGATAACAGCAAGTGTAAAGGTAGACAACAAAAAGATACATGAGAAAAGGAGGAACACAGCTCGAGGTGAACTGTGGAACATGCTTACAATGATAATAACAATCTGTAAACATGTCCTTCATTGCTGATTTAATTCATGAAAGTGCCCAGAGGAAAAGCTTGAATTTATAAACAACATACTCTTCCCACTCTGTAAGCTTCGGTTATATCCAACAGGGCTTAAGAATTCGAATATGAAGACGGTCACAGCTACCACAGACAGGCACATGACGAACATCATCACCCACACAGCTGGGCTGTACGGCTCTATAATGGTGGAAAAAAATATAAAAATGAATGGATGTCAATTCAAACAATTTAAAGTGGTCATGACATATTTTTTTCCCTGGGCTCCATTTATAATATAATAAATTTTTTTGAGCCAATAAGTCTATAGTTTAGATTTTACTGAGTATTGCCCACACTATTAAACAGCCAATTTATCAGCCTCTTTGCAAAGCCTGACTTAAACAGCAAAATCTGTGCAAAAAGGTGCCATACAAACTGTTAAAATCAGATTTGAAATTATCAGGGACCTTATTAAAATACATTTCAGTAATTTTTTTTAATGTTGGGATTCATCAATGGCATTTACAGAGCAGTAGGTGCTACACGCAGTCAGGAACATCACACGGTTTGACAAACTTTCTCACATTTTATCATTCTTCTTGTTTAGGAAGAACTGCGTATTCTATTTTCTTATTATATCATGCAAGCTTCTGATATCCCAATACATGTCACTGCAGGCAAAAAAAAAAAAAAGGCTCCTTATAAGAAACAAAAATAGGCACCAAATTATTTTTTTTAAGTGCCACAGAATAAATGTTTTTTTATTTTTTTTAAACACATTAACATTTCAGTCATACTGTCATATATTTATGTCTCCCCTCCTTTTACAGCATCAGCATTTTAATCCATCTTGTAGATGTCCTGGGAACTAAGGTTCACTTAAAGTGGGAACTAAACATCATTTCCAACTTGATAACTATATACAGTCAGAAAGAATTGTTTATTACACAGAATCTGTGCCAATATCACAGACCATAACTATGTCAGCATCACTTGGCCATTGAGTGTAGTTTGGGCTCCTCCTCAATGCATCCTATAAATGTTGTCATATGTCCTGCACACATCCAGTCTGTTTTTCTTCATTAGTAACATGCAATTATATAAGAGGTGTTGAATTTTATCTTTAGCTCCTTGCATTCTTTCTTATCATGTAGACAACAGATTAAGTAAAACATGAAAATGTAATACAGCACATATATTTAGCAAAATTCTCTTCAATTGTTTTTTTACTCTAGATGACTAATGAGCTTATGGACGCCGAATAGTTATTCTGTGGTAAATGATTGTTACGTGGCATTGTTTACAAGCTTTACACATTTTCTGCAGTTTGAAACATTGAAAGAGCGATTACATGAGACATTTCAGATATTTTGATGTCCATTCATGTTTATTTCATACTATAGTAGTAAAGAGAAAGATATGATGGGTTCAACCCGCTTGAACTGAGGCGCTAAAGTGATCGCTCATGCTACATTTCTGAGTGCCAAAACGGTATTTATTTGTTTGAATTTTGTTATGAATTTAGTAGAATTTTAAAGCTGATACTTTGTTTATTAAAAGGTAACAAAGACTATTGCGATTATTGGATGGCAAGTGCGCTACAAATAATATGAAGTTCATGCATTAACAGAACACAGCATTTAGACTAAAGATCTTGATAACAAGAAACCATATTAGTAACACAAATATAAATGAGAATTGTTAACGACATTGTTAATGTCCAGACAGCTGACAGCTTTGCATGTTGTTATTTGTTCAAGTTGTGCACGAAATAGACCCCGGTTTTCTCCACTTTTACTTCACACGTCTCCATAATTTTTGATCTCTCTCATGCTGCCACAACTGGAGCTGCTTTTAGCAGGGGTGCATAACAAAAGATGTGATCACAGAACAAGCAGGAAAAAAGGCATTACATGCAAATTTTTTAGTCATGTAAATTTTAAAAAATATCACTCACAAACTAATATTTTTGGTCGCAAATGCGACCATTTTAGTCGCAGTCTGGAACCCTGCACTGACATGCAAAAAAATGGGGGAGGAAGTTCGGTATGTTTTTATAAAAAAATAATAAGAAGAAAAATAAGAACAATTTTATGATGACAAGACCATCTTAACAATAAAAAAAAGTTAATTGTTAGGGAGAGGCCAAGTTGGATTGCTAATTACAAGATTATAAAGATCCTTAAACCATTACCATTTGGCAGTGTGCATAAAAAGTCAAAAGATAATCAGCAAAAAATGTTGCAAATACAACATTTAACATAAACATGATATATAACACTAAATCTGAAGAAATATGAAGCCTGTAGCTCAACTGGTACAGCATAGTGCTGGCAAAATCAAGGTCAAGGGCTTGATTCCCAAGGAAAGGTTCATACAGATAAATTGTTTTACTTTGGATAAGCGTCTGCCAAATGCCTAAAAGTAAAAATAAAGTCCTCCCTCCTATTCCCTTACCGAGGAAAGCAGATGGTGACACAGTGCCATTGCTACGAGAGACCATGACACTGATGCCAGTCTCCACAAACGGAACAGAGAACTCTACAACCTCTGACCTCTCTTCATTAATAGTCAAGGAGCCGATCGCCATGTCAGCCCGCTTGGACACCACCTGGTGGGGAAAGAGGTTAATAACAATACGTACAGAGAAAGTGTATTTAAGAAGTTTATCAAAGTAGTAACTAACCTTTATGGACTACTTAGTCTGAATGTTAAATTCAGTTAAATCTGAATGTTGCTTAGTTCACACATTTAAAACAAAAAGTTTTAGTTTTGTTAATTTATATTCAAAAACATTAGCTTGTATATTATGGCCTGGTGCTTTATTGGTGTCACAGTTCGAGACAAAAAAAACCTGCTGCACCTGAATTCAGTCAACTTTGTGATAATAAAATCAAGGTGAACAAATAGTCGAGAGATAAAATGAGGACCTGACCTCCCCGACCATTCCATTCCACTCTCCATTTATGTTCTTTCCATGCCTGCCATTGGTCACCAGATAGAGGTCATAGCTGAAGCCCACTATTTTAGCCAGGCGCTTGAGAACATCAATACAGAAGCCTTTGCAGCAGTGCTTCATGGACTGAATGCCCTCAACAACCATGCTGTAATTGAAAAGAAGAAGAGAAAGACATAGAAAAGGAAAAAGAAACAGAAAGGGGACAGTGACACAAAAGAAAGAAATAATGTAGAGAAACCAAGTAAAAGAAACTAAATGAACATCCCTGCTTAGAATTCAGTGCTTTGTCACCTAAGGCTAACACACATAATCTGAGGTCTATCAGCATAAAGTATAAGTGTCACGGTGTGCCTACTGTGAGGAGTGAGGAACAAGGAGCGAGGAACGAGGAGAATCATGATTAACAGTCTTTATTTTATATCTAGGGAAACACACGTAGGACACGGGATCGATGTTCAAGACAGCACACCAAACACTAGGAAACACAGGGTTTAAGTAATAAGACACACCTGGGATCAATAGAACTAAACAGGGAACACCTGGAACAAATGATCATAATAAGTACAGGAACGGGAAGGACCAAATAAGGGCATAAACATAACATGGAGTACGTGGGGGAGGAAAACACAACACAAGACAGGAACAGAGTCTGACATTACTCCCCCCTCCCGGAAGGTGGGGGCTCTGGAGGCCTCTCAGGACAGGCTTACAGGGACAAACGGCCTCCAGGGCGGTAACCGCTCCGGGACCCATGGCGGATCAGGCAGACTAGGGAGCCATGGTGGAACAGGCTGTTAGGGGCACCATGGTGGATCAGGCAGACTAGGAAGCCATGGCGGAGCAGGCAGACTAGGAAGCCATGGCGGGGCAGGCAGTTCAGGAGGCCATGGCGGAACAGGGAGCTCGGGGAGCCATGGCGAAGCAGACAGTTCAGGAGGCCATGGCGAAGTAGGGAGTTCAGGAGGCCATGGCGGAGTAGACAGTTCAGGAGGCCTGGCCTCGGCACTCGGGGGCTGGAACCCTCTCTGGGCTAAACTCGGGGACTGGGACCCTCTCTAGGATAAACTTGGGGACTGGAGCCCTCCGTGGGCTAAACTCAGAAACAGGAGCCCTCTTTGGGCTGGATTCGGGGGCTGGAGCTCACACTGGAGCGAGCTCTGGGGCTGGAGCCGACACTGGAGCGAGCTCTGGGGCTAGGATGAGGGCGGAGAACAGACTTTTTCTCCTCATCCTCCTCCTTTAGTTAAGGGTGAACCATGCGGCCGGTGTGCTTGACATCGGCACGGCCAGCACGCTTGACATCGGAACGGCCGGCGTACTTGACATCGGAACGGCCGGTGGGCTAGACTTCGGAGTGGCCGGTGGGCTTGAAATCGGCGCGGCCGGTGGTCTTGTCTGCTGAGAGGCCGGCAGGCTGGTTCTGGAGGATCCCTTCCCTCCAGCTTAGTCCCGTGGTGTCTGGGAGGTCCACGGGGCGATGGTAATTGGCCCCGTGCCAGAACAAAGAGTTGACGTGGCATCATCTGATGCCGTTGCCGCAGCGAGCCCGCAGACCTCCCTGGCATACTCGATGGAGGGGAGATCTCTACGGGCTAGCGTAATGAAGCATGCCGCGATCTCCATAATCACGGGGGGAGCAAAGGAATACAAAAAACTTTCAAAAACCGAAAACAAAAATGGGGAGAAGAGGCGCCGCTTACTTTTTAGGTGCTGTCTTCTGTCACGGTGTGCCTACTGTGAGGAGCGAGGAACAAGGAGCGAGGAACGAGGAGAACGCAGGAGAATCATGACCAATAGTTTTTATTTTACATCTAGGGAAACACACGTAGAACACGGGATCGACGTTCAAAACAGCACACCAGACACTAGGAAACATAGGGTTTAAGTAATAAGGGAACTAGTGGGACACACCTGGGATCAATAGAACTAAACGGGGAACACCTGGAACAAATGATCATAATAAGCCAAAGGACCAAATAAGGGCATGAACATAACATGGAGCACGAGGGGGAGGAAAACACAACACAAGACAGGAACAGAGTCTGACAATATTCTTTAAAGGAAATGGTCTGCTGTTTTAAAAACAAGCACTACTCAATAGAAACTGGAGCAGTGATCAAACAGGAAAATGTAATTATTTAGCTTAAGATTGAATGCCATATAGCACCCAAAAATATAACAGATTTTTATTTTCGTATTAATTTTGCCTAACTGAAGTGACTGCACCACAGCAATAATTACTGTAAAATATACACTGGTGGCCAAAAAGTAGTCATTACTATATCTAGTAGCAGTGTTTATTATTTATTTTTAAAAAATCCACAATTTGAAATAAGTAATATAGATATTCTTTTTCTTTTTTTTTTTGCTTTCTGGTAATGGGAATCTGTGGTGTAGATGTGCTTAATTATAATGAAAATGTCATGTAATTTTTTTTATGCAAAATGTTGGTTGGTTAAACAAAATCATAATGTATCTAATTTAATAAAACTAATTTCCATTATCTTTCTTTTGATTTTGGGGTGAAATATGACCTGGGCATGTTCTTGTTTTTGTGACATTCACCCAGGCACTGTATGCTAGACCAGGAAGAATTTTGAGAAATTCTGCATTTAAATAAAGTAAATGAAGTAAAGTGCTCTAACACAGAACTATCATTGATCAACCTCTTCCATTTCTACGTGCATTTCTAATTTATTTAAATTCCATCAGTTCTAGTGACAGGATAGGGAATGAATGCCCCTGGGGTAATGTGAATGTAATTTGCAACATCTGCATATTCACTGACACATTTGCCAAAGTGATAACCCCAAAGGTTGAACATTTCCATTCTAAAAATCCACAGACTGAACCTTGACCTGTTGTTGAGTCGCAGACGGCATTGCACAGAGTCTCTGATGCAGGAGCCTGTTCCAGGATCAGCAGGCTCCACGATGACGAACGGCCTCTCCTCCAGAGTAACCACACGCAAGTGTTGGGAGTCATCCAGAGGTTTGAGGAATGAGCCGTAACGGGACCAGGGAGGGTAATGCAGACGCAGCACTCCATTTTCCCACCAACCTACCTACAACAGTAAGAAGATGCCATTAAAATGACACAAAAACCTTTCTGAGACTTCAGACAGATGCCGAATATTTCATAATGGTACATTAAATATGATTGGTGTTGGCATCTGACATTTTCAAGACAGTTTGTGGATGTAGTGCCAACTTTATTAAGTAAGAAACTGAAGCTGAAGCACATATAAAATGTCTGTCTTCCCAAGTGACAGCTATTTTATCTTTCAACAAGTCACGTAAACCCAAACCTTTCAAAGCTACTGACAAACTGACAAAAAGTGCATGAATACCAAAAACGTTCCTGCAAACATCTATTATTTCTTATGGCTTATTGACATTTGCCAGGAAAATGCTGTATGCGCAATCATTTGCAATTGCCACTCAACTGCATTCAAGTGCACTGCCCCGTAAACAATTTCCCTTTCGAGAGTAATTTAAAATAGCAGACAAGTTATTGGAAAATCAGGAACGTTGTGAATTATACAATAAAACACAAATAAGCATGTAAAAACATAAGGTATGAATTGCAGACTACTCATTTTTACCATGAATTTAGAATTTTTAATGGAGGGAGAGAGAGATTGCAAACTCTCAGTGTACAGTAGGTTGATCATTTTGCTGCATTATATCACAAGTATATGTACTAAAAGTACTGAATATGAAAATCAAGCTTAGTTACAATGATAACACAGTTTATACATTATAATACAATTTGAAGAATTGTGTCAATGCAGCTTTCAGGCTTTGCACAAAATGTATTGTAATGTAATGTGAATGTGCATATATTTATTATTTGATGCACTTCAGTCCCTTCTGTGTGACACACAGTTCATTTCAAATGCATTCTTCACATTTCATTTATATTGCATTTAAATGGCAAGGCAAAATGCGAACTCACTTGGGAGCTGCATTTAAAACAGTTCAATGATAACCATGAATATCTAAACACATTTAAGCATACTAATGGCTTCACCCCTACCTCCTCCCATCCTCTTCCTGCAGTGTAGGAGATAACATCCAGGAGCGGATTTGCCAGATAACCGTCATTATTAAAGGAATAGTCCCGTCCAGATAGAGTTATGTTACTGAAGAACCTGCAGGAGGAGAAGAGGAAAAAAAGAGCAGGGTGATAAAGGAGGAGTCTGAGTGAAAGTGATAAAGAGAAGGAGAGAGAGCAGTAAGAGATAAAAAGTGATAGATGGGAGTTCCATTAGTCACCTCTCCACTTGGGGTGGTGTGTGTGATTTGTGCTGAATGCTTAAGGGATTCTTAAGCAAACCTTCTCTGCTGAACATTAAACAGAAATGACAACACTGAATCTCAATGAACATAAAAAAGAACGACCGAAAACTCAAGGTATAACTGCCTAACCAAATGAATGAATCAATGAATTAATTCAGAAGAAAATAGACAGAGTGGAAGGATTAAAAAAACAAATGGAGAACGTAAAGCTAAATGTATGAATGAACAAGCTATATTTTGAATGAAATCTGAAAAATGATTGAATAGCTAGGGTGAATGTATACTGTATTTGTGAAAGGAAGAAAGGGCTGATGGATGCATAGATGAATTTAAAAAATGAAGGGTGCTGAAAGATGTATAAATTAGGAAACGAATAAGTAGAGAGAAAAATATGGATGAACAGACAGATAAAATATGAACGAGAGTAAAAAGGATCAACTTAACGAATAAATGAACAAATAAGAAAGAAAAATGGGATGGATGAATGGATAAAAAAATTAATAGTTTAAAGGGTAAGAATGATGGATGAATGAATGAAATAGAGGAAAAATGTATGGACATTAAACAGAAATGACAACATAGAATCTCAATGAACGTAAAAACAGAATGACTCAAAGTATAAATGAATGAATCAATTAATTAATACAGATGAAAATTGAGAGTATGGAAGGATTTAAAAAAAGACAAAAAAAGCTGAATGAATGAGTAACAAACAAGCAAAATTTTGAATGAATTAAAAAAATGGATGAATGAATGAACAAATAAATGAATGAAAGGCAAATTTATTTGTGAATGGATCAATAATATATTAATTTTATTTATATAAATTAGAAAAGAAATAGGGATACTTTTGGAAGAAAGGGTAAATTCATAGATGAATAAAAAATAAATGGTACTGAAAGATAACCTTCATGAATGTGTGGAATTAGGGAATGTAGAAAAAGAGAAAAAGATGGATGAATGGACAGATAAAATAAAAAACGTAAGAAAGGATCAACCATCAATAAATGAACAAATAAGAAAGAAAAATGGGATGAATGAATGATAAAAAATGAAGAATTGTTTAAAGGGTAAAAATGAATGAATGAATGAATGAATGAAAAAATAGAGTGAAAAAAGTGGATAAACTGTATTCATGGAATAAATTATGGGGAAAAAATTAATTCAGAATAAACTGATGAAATTTGTATTTATTCATGTTTTCACTTATTATGAAAAAAAAATTGTGATGGATGGATGAAAAAAAGCAAGGGTAAAGAAAAGGATAACCTTCACAGAGGAATGAATCAATGCGCCTATGAACGAGGAACTGGGTGGATGGAGGATGAATGACATGCCCTAAAGCACTGCTGCCACGGCTCCGATTGTGCTTTTATCACACTTCCAGATCGGCGGCAGGACACGGCAGTCATCTCGCCAGTGGCTTGTTTTCAATATTCAGTGTCTGGAGCTCTTAGGATGCTGCCGAGATGCTCTTGTTAGTCGCCATGACAACTAGGACCACGAGAGTAGCACTGAAACTCTGGAACAGACGTGAAATGTGAACATCACAACAGAGTATCTTTCTCCCCTGAGCGTGTGGAAGCTGCTCCTCTGGTTGGGCATTTGTTAGCAGTTTTCTTTTCATTGGTGATGCGGTAATGGCCAGAGAAAAAGACTCTTTCAATCAGCTCGTTTTAAATTTTTTTATTTTAGCCCGTCATTGCACGGGGCACTCGGCTTGTTTTTATGAGACATGTCTCATAAGTCTTTCCACTTCTGTCTTTGGGAGAAATTGTACTTGATATCTGATCCATAATTTATGTCAGGCTCTATATAAGAGATTATGTTCATTTCAAAAGCGACGGTTGCAATGACAGCTACAGCGGGCTTCTGGTTTAATGCCCCGTTTAATAGATTGTGAGCAGTATTGCTTAGCCAAACTTCATTCCTCCATCTTGAAATGGCACACTAAACACTTTTAGAAATACAAAATGGAGATTATAAACAACGCTGTTTATTTTTCATGCCACATTTTTTCATGCATACTCACAAGGGAATCATACTCGAGTTTACAAATCACTCTCAAACTTCTTTGATCCGTCACACGCGATATCTGCTACAGATCGGCAATTCAAGAAAATGCTCAATTCGGCGTAATTCATTTATCTCGCACTCATTTCGAGAGTGCAATGGAGAGCGTGACAATCTTAACAACCTCAAGTCGGTGATGCCACACTTTCCTCGTTCCCTTGCTCTAGACCCCTGCAAGGTTGTCATAGCAACACAGCCATTGACATTACATGTGTTCTGCTAATGCCTTACATTGTGGGGTGAACAAACAACCTAAAGCACAGCACGTGGCGGAATACAGATGTCACTTGTGTCATCACAATGAAGATGAGAAAGAGAGAGGAAGGAAAAAGGGAGCGTGAGTCTGACACAAAATGGAAATGTAGCAGTGATGTACTGTCACACGGAATGTGAAATGCAAAAGCCTGGAGACACAAGGAAGAGGAAGTGTGTGGCACACACACCAGGACAGGATAAGGAGAGATGCGGATTGTTTGAACATCAGAGCGGTGTTTAAACATCAGAAACATTTGAGGGGTTTTAATGTGTCCATTAAAGCGGCATTAGTATGGTGATGAGCAGAGGCACTGCCCTCTGCATCTGTGTGTATGTGTGTTTGAAAGAGGGAGTATCTCAAAGCAATATGGCTGCATACACTCACAATATGGTTTCTCTATGATCGAAAGTCATAAAGAGAGAGAGGATCTAGAATCTAGTGAGATTTAGAGATTTAGAACCCCATTTTTTGGGTTCACATACAGGTTCAAAAGTTAATTGAAATGGTTAAAAATGCTGTCTCTGTAAGAATGTTCGCGCTCACCCATGATGCCCAAAAAAGTAAGTAGGAACATTCAAATATGCCTACTAAATTCCAAAAGTGCTGTCGGAAGGAATGTTCGAGCTCACCTGTGATACCCAAAAATGCTTTCTAGGCACATTTAACATGCCTATGATGCTCAGAAAGGGACTCTAGGGTTATCTAGACAAAAAAACATTCTAACGGGCATCAAAAGATGTAAGACGCGAATGCAACGGTCAAACACATCCATCTAGTGCATTTTTACGTGCAACAATTGAAAATCAGTGCAATGGAATGCAAAAAGGAGTTCTGTTTGAACTGTCCCTAATGATGCCTATGGACATTCAACATACCTATTCTGCCAAAAAATGCTGCTTGTTGAAAACATCTGGGTTGGAGCATTCAAATACATCCATGTTGCCCAAAAATGGTCAATGTAGGAATGTTTGAAAGCACCCATGATGTAACATTTTCATGTGCTTAATATCTAAAATAATGTGTCTAAGATCCCCAAAAATATTGGCTAAGGACAAGCAATGTGCCCAAGATGCCCAAAAATGCAGTTTGTAGTAACTGTCTAGGTTGGAGTCTTCAAACACATCATGCCCAAAAAAGCAGTAAAATGTGCCTGTGATGCCCATAAAAGGCCTGTAAGGTTATCTAAAGCTATCTTGGCAGGAACACTCTACCCAATGCCTGCTGTCTATGAATATTTGACATACTGTGCCTATGCTGCCAAAAACCACTGCTTGCTGAAATGGAATAGGTTGGTATCTTCAAATATATCTATAATTCCCAAAAATGTTCAATTTAGGAATGTTTGAAAGCACACGTGACGGAACATTTGCATGTGCCAAATGCCTAAAATGCATTTAGGAACATTTGAATGTGCCCACGATGTCCAAAAACGGTGGGATCCTTCAAATGCATCTATAGTATAGCGCCCAAATATAGAAATGTTTGAATATACCTGCAATGCAAAAAGACTAAATCCAGGTAGAAATGTTCAAAATTGCAGTCTAAGAATGTGCAGCTGCCCAAAAATATTCTTTGTAGAAACAGTCTAGGTAGGATCCTTCAAATCTATTATGTCCAAAAATGTTTTACATATGAATATTAAAACACACCCATGATGCAGTTTGAATGCAGTTACGGTGCAGTCACAAACTCAGTCTTTAAAAATGTTGAATGTACCTATGATATTAGTGTAATTTGATCCCAAAAATGGTCTAGGTATGAATATTTGAATGTATCTACAATATGATGGCCAAAAATGAAGCCTATGCAGGAAAATTCACACACATTAATAATGCTACAAAAGTAGGAATATTTGAATGCACCCATACAGGAAAGTTGCAATGTGCCTGTGACGTCCAAAAAAAATGTCTAGATAAGCAGCTCACTAGGTTTTGAAACGCAACCAGAGAGAGAGAGGAAGTTGGCGAAGTTGGCTGAAGACGTCAATACTGCTGCGACATCCTGCACAGACAGCATGAGTTAATAGGAGGAAGTGGGCGTAAGAGTGAGCGAATGAGGGATGGAGCAGACCTTGAGTGAGTGAATGAGTGAGAGTAAGATTGAGTTTGAGTGTGTGTGGGTGAAGCTGTGTGGCTGCGAGATCAGTTCCATTGGTGACAGTCTGTGTTATTTCCCCCTGCATTCGGCACACCATAACCAATTATCCTATTTACATGCAAAACGACACCACGTGCTTCTTTAGAGCCGCCCGCAGGGGCAAGACGAGAGCGGAGAGGAAAAATGAAGGGATGAGAAAGTGGGGGCCAACAAAGGGTGGGTGAAAAGAAGGGGGACAGGAAAGAATGAGTGCGAGAGAGAGTGAAGAGTATGAGATGGAATTAGATTGGGGACAGTAATGTCGACATGATGAGAGAGGAGAGTTATTATGAAAGAGTGCAAGGACTGAGAAATGCACGGGCATGAAAGAGTGGGAGGGCATGAAAAAGAGGCGAAAAGAATGACAGAAATATGAGTAGGGGGATT